TTCATAAATATACCACTCCAATATCACATCCCTCCCTCCACCATTGTTGGTTATGATCTGCATACTATAAAGTTCACTCCTTTCAAGCATATATTCAATGATTTGATAGGAAAAAAACTATCAAATTATACAACTAGATCCAGTTTTTAGATGTTTTTTTTATCACATCTGTCATATTCCTCAAATGAGTCTAGGGATTAGAACATTATAGATAATCTATGTTCTAATCCCTAGACTCATTTGATCAGTGATTACTTTCTAACTACAGATTTCCCTTCTCTGGATACTGCCTATAAAACAAATTACTGGCTTCTGTGTTCTGCTTCTTTCACTTAAATGTTTATGATAATTAGACTACGTGGTTTGGGGCTTTGTTTTATTTTTCTCTTTCTGGTGGGAGGGTAGGGTCATAACCAGTAGCACTCAAATATCCTATTGGTGGTCAGAAGAACATAAGTGATGCTGTGAGTCAACAATGATTGGTCAAATATAATCTAACTGCCTTGTTCTTACTAGAATATCTAGCCAAGACTAGTTCTTCACAAGAACAACATAAAGGTTAGAGACAGAATTCCTAATCATACTCATCTACATAATCAATTCTAAAGTTGGTAATGATCCTAAAACATGGAAATTCTGAAACAGAAGGCAAGAATTAATAAAAATGACAAGTCAGCACAACCTTCCCAGAAGCCAATGAGAAATGGTAACAGGACATAGTTCCTTAGACAAATCAGGCCCGTGAGTAGCTTTTTAAAACTATCACTCTAGGGACCAGAGATATAGCAGAGGATAAGGTGCTTGCCTTGCACATGACTGATCCAGGTTTGATCCCTGAGCACCACTGGGTGTGGCTCTGGAGACCCCAGAACCCCAGAAGGCTGGCCTGGAGAATCCCTGTATACAGATCCAGAAATGCAGTGCCGGCCAGAGGACCACTATATTCTGGTGACCTTACATTAAATTCTCACTTTTTTTTTTGGGGGGGGGGGTTTGGGTCATACCTGGCAATGCTCAGGCATTACTCCTGGCTCTGCACTCAGGAATTACTCCTGATGGTGCTCAGGGACCATATGGGATGCTGGGAATTGAACCTAGGTTGGCCGCATGCAAGGCAAATGCCCTACCCACTGTGCTATCGCTCCAGCCCCACATTGAATTCTTAGTTAGCTGAGAATCACCTGGAGGGAAACCCATGCTTTCTGAGCACCAAGAGGGAGACACACACTCCCCCACCCCACTCATCTCTTCCCCAACCCACCCCTTGCCTAAATAAAATGAAACCAAAGAAGCTGTGCTCCTATCCAGGTTAGGTACTTCATTATACCTTGTTTTAAGATAAAGATGTTAGTATATCCTGTTCAGGACTGTCACTTGAAGTAGCACTTCTGTTTGCAAAATGATAATTGTTTTTGAACTCGTGAGAAAGCTTTGAATAGAGATGACAGAATGGCTTTCGAAAGTGGTGCCCACTTCCCCTTTCAAACATTGAGCAAAACAACATGGCAAAGAGCCTGTTCTCACTCTGCATTTAGCAAGCATTGTTTCTGGGAACTAAAACCTACATTTCCCATTCTGCTATGCTAAAATAAAGACAGTACAGGTTCTTTAACTTTCTAAGAAACTTTTGACCTGTCTAGGCTGGTGGTGCTCCAAGAGTGATAACTATAACAATAGCTTCAGCATCACGTCAATCTGCTGGAAATGCCACTTCACCCCTGCCCTAAATAAATTTTTCTAATATCTTAATCTTGGAAAACTGTATAAACTGTATAAAGCTTATAAAGTAAATTGAAAATTACCATTCTTGTGGGAAATGAACACTTCAGGTGGTGTAACAAAAATACTTTCATAGAGATTTCATCAACACTTAAGATAGAACCTTAAAAATGATCATTTCTCCTTTCCACATAAGTTAAAAACATTTAACTTAAGTTAAACAACCATATTAGAGAATATAACCAATATAGGGAAAGACTCTTTTCCGCTGCTTAGAAAAATCCCATGTAAAATTTAGAGAAAATTAATTTTTTGAACAATATATGTAGATGTGAATATAGTCTAGGGGCTTATATGGTCACTATCAAACCTCACAGTAAACTCCTTCTCAAACACCTTCCATTTTAAACATGAAAACTGGGGCTAGAGAGATAGTACAATGGGTAGGAAATTTGTCTTGAAAGTGGCTGGCACAGGTTCGATCCCCAGCATCACACATGGTCCCCCAAGTCTCCCAGGAGGATTCCTGAGAGCCAGGAGTAAACCCTGAGCACCATCAGGTATGACCAAAACAAAACAAAAAAAAGAAAGAAAATGCCACTCTACCTCTCTATTTGTTCGTTTGTTTGGGGGCCACAGTCGGCAGTGCTCAGAGGAGTACACTGTGCCAGGGATTAAAGCTGGCTCCAACATACAAAGTATGCCTACCACCACTCGGAAGTATCTCCTTTGCCTGCAGTTTTGAGGAGAATAAGGTGACCCTTGTGTAGCTCTATCTAGCCAATAGCATTTACATATGAGAAAACAAGATCTTTTAAAAACGTTTATGCATAGACTGGAAAGTTAGCACACTGGGTAGGGTGTTTGCCTTGCATGCAGCCAAACCGGGTCCTATCCCCAGAATCCCATATGGTCTCCAAGCACTGCCGGGGGGTGGGGAGGATGGGGGGATTCTTGAATGCAGAGCCAGGAGTAACCCCTGAGAATTGCCAGGTGCCCTCCCAAAAAATTAAGTAATCTTTAAAACTGATTATACTTAGAAAGAAGCAGAAATATGATTAAAGAGGCTGACCTTCCTCATCAAAAATAAAACTACTGATAGTATATATACATATTAATATACTAATTTACACTGATATATATTCATGTATACATATATAGTCCAGTACGATGGTTTATATTTTGAGCAATCACATGGCAATTCTTCTTTTCTCCTGGTTATCATCAACTCTTAAAAGATGAAATTGGTGCATGGAACTGGAGAGTAGCATGCTGAATACATCAAGCAGGAGAGACAGATACAAAATGTTCTTTCTCACACATGGGATAGAAAGAAGCACAGCAGGAAAATAACAAAAGGCCCAAAGCAGTAGAATCTAGGGACTGGTCCACAGGACTGACCTTACCGTGGCAGTAAGCGGTGGGAGAGTATGAGGAGGAGGAGGGTTGAGATGGCAGAGGGAGGGGGGATAATGGCGGAGGGAACAGATACTCTGGTGGCGGCTGTGGTGCTGGAATGCTGGATTTGTGAAACCCTACAATTGACAGGACTGTACAATTGCAAACCACGGTGCATAAATTAAAACTAAAAGCTTTTTCTAAATAGTAGTGGTTTCCAACTGCCAGTTTGTGAAATGCAAAATGGCTGAAAACGAGTGGTTCCAGAAAGAGTATCTGAGAACCAAGAGACATTCCACTCAATTTAAATTCAAACAGACTATTCAGACAGGATTTTAAAGATAACAAAGACTAGCACTGACAAGGTTATGCAAGCAACCATTGTATTAGAAGTCAAAACAAACAGTCAGATAGCACAGCAGTTAAGGTGCTTGCCTTGCATGTGGCTGACCTGGTACTGTCCTCAGCACCACCAGGAGTAATCCCTGAGCACAGACCCAAGATTAAGCACTGAGCACCACCATCGGGTGTCACCGGACTTATGCACCCTCTCCCACAAAAAAAAAAAAAGAAGTAGCAAAATTCTTTGTTAATTTCAATATAATAAGAGTAAATGATGATATCAAAATAGAATACTCATACATTTTCGTTGGTTCTTTAAAAGCAAACAGTGTATCAGATGATTGACAAGGATCAGTCAATTAAATTGAGCTATTCTTCCTACGTAGCACAAAAATAAAGATTGATCTAAACCAACAACACAGCATCTTTTTATGTAATACTAATGTATCTTATCTTAAGTATCCACTGGGAATACCTTATTTGATTCTAAGATGCAGATTTTCCTATTTTGTCTAAAACAGGAATGTACCTCAACAATAAAGCAGGTAAAACCACTGTTGGGCATAGACTGGATTGTTTATGTGCAAACATGAGAATAAAAGCATCAGATTTGGAAAATAAAAGTCAGCAACCTGTTATGGAATATTTTTTTTCTCTCACTTATGAAACATTTTTTTTTAAACTCCTCAGAACCAAAACTATTGGGGTAAAAGAGAACTTTACCCATCAGTAATTACAAAGTTGGTCTGAGAGGCTAATTTTCACTGACTTCAAAATTTTTTTTATATATTCTTTTAAATACTGTTACATCATGGATTAGGGATGTAACTCAGCAATAGATGACTTGTCTGCTATGTGTGAGGTGCTGGGTTCAAAATCCAGCACTGCAAAGAAGAAAATTAAAAAAAAAAAAAAAGAAAGGAAAGAAAAGAAAAGAGAAATTCTGCATATGATGCTCTTAGTCACAATACTGTGTGGGAAAAGTGGGCCTCACCAATACAGAGTAAATTATTTGTAAGAATGTAAAAGTGTTTCCTACCTATTTATTTATGTTTCCTACCTATTTATTTATTTAGATTTTGGGCTATCCCCAGTGATAATCAAGGCTTATTCCTGGCACTATGCTCAGGGAACACTCCTGGTACAACTTGGGGATGCATACAGAGAACCAGGAATCAAACCCAGCTCAGCCAAATGCAAGGCAAGTGCCCTACCATCACCCCAGTCCATGTTTCCTACCAATTTAAAAAAAAAAAGAAAGAAAAGGAAAGAAAACCTTATTTGCATGTGGCTTGTCAATCATCTGATACACTGGGTTTTATTTCTTTCTGTTTGCACACACTGGCCCTAAGATTAAAATGTATCCCTAATTACATTTCTAGTCCTTTCAAAGATGGGTGACATCATTGAAAATGAAAGGTAACACAAATTTTTGGTAATAAAATACAGTGCATACTCTTTAATATCAAATATTAATGTCTTATGCTTCATAAAACTATTTTCAGTAAATACTGTTAATGAAACTTTCTGTAGAGTATTACCTGCAAACCGCAGCAGCCTACAGCATTCATTATGGAAGCATTATGAATAACTCGATACGGAATTCCCAGTTTCATAGCTCTCAGGACAAGATCACTGTGTGTTGTAGCCCTGAAGTGAGAAAAAAAAATGAAAAGTAACTAACATTGACTTTTTAAGAAGGTAAAACTATAGTATTTCACAAGTTTAAGTCTAAAGGATCAAAGCTTTCATCTGTGATCCTGGCAAGAAAAGTTTAAATCTATACACGCCTTCACACTACTGAATTGGACCTGAGTTCCTCTCAAAGCAATCTTGGAAGTATGGAAAAGGGAAGAAGGTTTATTTGTTCTTTTATCCTGCTAATACGCTAGTACTGGCCAAAAGTATCTGCAGAAAATGAGCCAGGCAACTCAAATCAGGCAATTTTGGTGTAGGCCTCCTTTAAAGTCTTAAAATTACCATTTTAGAGTTCTATATTATAGCATAACTAGACCCAATCTTTGATTCGTATTCATTTTGGGTTTTGCATTTTCAAATAAAAGACAAAATACAGGCTGTACAAGACAAAATACAGAGCATTTCCATAGCTTGACAGTCAATCTCTGTAAGAGAGTTCTAGCCAATATAATCCTAGTTGGATTTTACATGCTGGCAGTGACTTTATTTTAGATTTTCACTGTAAATGTTGTGTCATTGCATATGTATTTGCATGTGAATAATTTTCTGCCTTTCCTTTCTAATAGAAAGTTAATGATTATAATCAGATAGGTTTGGGTGGAAAGAGAATAGATGTAACAAGACATCAATTTTGAACTGCATTATTAAAGACCTTTTTTTCCCCATGGATGAGAACTCCAGGCTGGATAAAAATCCTCCTAGATGAATCCCCCTGGATGAAAACTCCAGCATTAGCATGTTTAAGAAACTATATACAAACAAGCAGAACCTGTCAACTGGTCAATGAATACCAAGTAGGAAGATCAAGGGCTTTTACCCCATGAGGCAGACAGAAACAGATTAACAAATGCCCACCAGGAAGCCTGTTCTAAATCACTTACATGAAACAAAAACTTGCATGAAAAACAATCATTAATTTGAGAAGCTTTTGAAAAATAATATAAATGCCAGCTGTAAAGAATGTTTTTAATATAATCTGTAACAGGATTTTGCAACTTGACATAAAGATTAAGGAAAAATGAAGTTGTTACCTGCTGAGTTATTTAAATAAGAGAAAGAAAAACTGATTGAAAATCATATATTTTTTATTACAGGTTCATTTTAAATGACCAGATGTGGATGATGCACTATTTTTGCATAATACGTAATGGTCTAGCAAAGTGATTTAATTTTGTGAGGTGCTATGCATGTCATTAAAAAAACCCCTCGGATTTCTAGTACATAACTGTAATACAAAATTGGCATTTTATCATCAGAGTTACCTAGGTCAGTGCTTCTCAAGGTTTTTCAACAGTGGCCCTCTTCCAACCTTGTTTTCTTCCTGTGGCCCCCACCTTTAGACAGCTGGCCCCTTAATTGTATGCAAAGCCTCCACATATCTGATGTTCACCTTGACCTTCTTAGAATATCCTAGGCACACAGGCTGAAATATGGCGTTGGCTGAAAAATGCTGCACCAGAGGCCAGAGACAGTCCAGCAGTGTGCTTGTCTTGCACACTGCCAACTGTGGTCTGATTCCTGAAACCCCTTTTGGTCCCCTGAGCACTGCCAGGAATGACCCATGAGCACTGTCAGGTGTGGGCCCCCCAAAATAAAAACTACCAAAATAAAAAAAATGCTTCCTTAGTTTGTATTGCCTTATGAAAAAGAAGCAGCTTTATTTAAAACACAGGCTTAAACTATTAGTATTCCTTCCAGATTGCACTTATGAAAATACTTTTTGGTGATTGTAAAAAAGGTGTGTGTGTGATATGACATAAAAATTATTATTTTGGATTCCAAAATCACACATACTTTTGTAAACATGATTTTAGATAGTCAAATGCCTCCTACCAGTAATATATCATGCTTTAATATACATTTTAATATGCTTGTCACTTGGAAATGGTGTGAAAGCAATTTCAAAGGAGATTTAATCATTTTTTTGAGATTTAATATTTTGATCAACATTATCAACAAAAAAGCACATAAAAGTGATTAATGTGAAAGTATTATATATGGTCTGTTTATTTTATAATAACATTAATTTGTGGATATAATACTACCACATTTGACAAAGTTATGGATAGCAATCTGAAAATTCACTAATATCTAAAATGATGCAGTGAAACTGAGAGTCTCATGAACCACCAGAAGACCTATAATCCTTCTGTAAAGTAAAATCTATAATCTTTCTGTAAAGTAATTTGATAACGCACAACTGAAAAATTATAAAATTTATAATCTTTCTGTAAAGTAATCTGGTAACACATAATTGAAAATATCCAAGGCTGGAGAAAAGTACAGTGGGTAAGACAATATATTTGCACACAGCCAACCCAGGTTTGATCTCCAGAACACCATATTGTCTCCTGACCCCATTGGGAGTGATCACTGAGCACAGAGCCAAGAGTGAGTAATGAGCATCATCAGGTGTGTCCCAAGACAAAACACGAACAAAAATAAAATATCCATATCAAAACATTTTGTAAAAATAAAAAGTTGTTTTATATATTAAATGTTACATATAAATATATAAGTAAAATCATATATAAATATATAATAAAATCTAAACCTGATTTGGGGACTCATAAGAAAATAATCTAAAAAGTGAGGACAGAAAGTGGGAGGAGAAAAGAATCATACACTGCCTCATACCTGGCAGTTTCATTTATACTGAAGAAAAAACATGGACGAGTGGCAGATAACAATGCTGCTATTCAACAGACTCTCTAGGTTATAAGATTTATGGAAATGAATCGTATCTTCAGGGGACTTACTCTGGGTTTGCATATATGCTTGCAGTCTTACCCTAGGTCCTATACCCCACAGTCTCTTCCTAGTGAATTCTAACTGAAAGCATACCAACTCCTCCACAGAGCCACCACTGATTAACACTGTGCCTTTAAATTTATACAACCGCAGATCCCCTTTTTTCCAGCTGAGTCCCAGAAGCCTCCACACCTGCCCAGCAGCACATTAACCATCCCCCACTGTATTCCTAGAGTGACATATGTGATCTATAAAGGTTAGATCTCAGCACAGCAGAAACACCAGAAAACTCAATGGGGAAGGTGGGCTTCCTGGGGAAGATGTGCGGAGGCCCACCATGTCCAATGAGTAAAAATAGTAACAGGGAGAACACAGCCAGCATCAACCAACTCTGTAAGCCCCCAGAAAATGACTTCAGTGATACCATGGTGAGGATACTTAAAGAGCTCAAAGAAATGATAGCTCAGGTAGTCAGGAAAGCACAATAAAGCATGAGATAATAACCTTTCAGCATCTGGGGCCAGAGTGATAGTACAGTGGGTAGGGCATTTGCTTTGCACGCAGCTGACCCCAGTTCAATCCCCCAGCATCCCATATGGTCCCCCAAGCACTGCCAGGAATAATTACTGAGTGCAGAGTAAGGAGTAACCCCAGCATCGCTGGGTGTGACCCAAAAAGCCCACCCACCCCCCCAAAAAATAACCTTTCAGCATCTGTATCACAAACCTTAATGCCGAAAATGAGAGAGAAAGAAAAAAAGAGAGAGAAAGAAGAGAGGTGCTTGCCATAGAGAAAGGTTGGGGTGGAAGGTGGCTTGGAGGGGAGGGAGGGAAACATGGTAAAGGGATGGGTATTGGAACACAGTATGACTGAAATGCAATCATGAACAATTTTGTAATGCTCTATCTCACGGTGATTCAATTAAAACAAAGTATGAGAACCAAAATGAGAAAACTTCAAGTAGAAATGACAGAAAGAAGAGTATGGTAGGTGATTTATAAACAAAGAAAACACCTGGTTTGAAGCTCTAAGCAGCAGAATCACAGCAGTGAGGAAAGGATAAAAAGCTTCAAGATGAGATGGAGAAAACCCCCCGGAAACAACAGAACATGGGGGAAAAGTCTGAAAAGAAGAGATGAATTCAAGAGGAACAATATAACAATCATTAGAGTTTCTGGGCAACAGTGAGGTGAATTTGATGAAGAACTGACAGAAATCATAGTTAAGAATTTCCCAGAGCTGAGGAATCCAGGCAACTAAACATAAGCGGCCCAAAAGGTCCCACTGAAAACAGACTCAACTAAGAAAACTTCAAGGCACATAGTGCTCAAAATGACAAAAACCAGAGATAGTATACTGAAAGCGGCAAAATCAACAGAGGAACTTAGAAAGGAAAGCCCTAAGATTTACAGAATAGCTATCAAATGAGACTCTGAGCCAGAGGACAATAGAAGAATATAGTCCAAAACTCGGTGACATGCATACTTCACAGAGAATATTCTATCCAAATAGATTATTATTCAGATTTAAAGGAACAATACAGTTTCATAGTGAGGCCACAGCTTAGGGAATTCATAGCCTTAAAATCCGTTTTGCCAGAAGTCTTAAAGGAGCGTCTATAAAGGACAGGATAAATTTCCCAGCATGTAGTACTGAGTACAGCACTGACTCACAGTGCTTATGGCTGCCTTTCACTAGATTAAAGAATTGTCACAGTCACTGTCCTCCCACTGTTCATCAATTTTGCTTGAGCGGGCCCAGTAACATTTTCACTGTGACACTAGTTACTGTGTTTGGCATACTGAATACGTCACGGGTAGCTTGCCAGGCTTTGCCATATGGGCGAGATACTCTCAGTAGCTTGCCGGGCTCTCTGAGAGGGGGGGAGAAATCGAACTGGGTCAGCCCGAGTCGGCCATGTGCAAGGCAAACGCCCTACCTGCTGTTAGATTAAAGGTAAAGGTAAAGGCCCTCCCGTTGTTCATCGATTTGCTCGAGCGGGCCCAGTAACGTCTCCATTGGAGACTTTGTTGTTACTGTGTTTGGCATATCGAATCTCGCCCGCACAGCAGAGCCTGGCAAGCTCCCCGTGACGTATTCGATATGCCAAACACAGTAGATTAAATTAATTTAAATTAATTAGACTTCCTAGCTTGCTGGGGAAGTTTTATAATCTTTTACTTGTTAATACAGACATGCAACATCTATAATATTTACTGATAAAAAGCAAATATTCCCTTTATTAGGCTAAAACACTAAGTATTCTTATAGGCCTATTCAGGTTTCCTCTTTAAATTTCCTAAATTCTCTTCGCTCTTGCTAAATTTTACATTTGGAGGAATTACCTTTTTCATGTAAACTCTAGAATGTACTGGCACAGTACTACTCATAATATTCTTTAAATTTTATGTAACTGAAAGAAATTATTGAAAAAATATAATTTTTTATGATTTTCATAAGTTATAAAATTTTTAATAATTTTTTAGAATTTCAAGAGGTTAGTTCTATTTATCTATTAGTTCTAGTCATCATTTCTATGAGCTCTATAAATATCTACTTATCTATATGTGTGTATATGTCACTACCTCCATGAAGAGAGAGAGAGAGAGAGAGAGAGAAAGAGAAAGAGAGCGCACTCTCCTATATGTGGGGGATAAAAAGAAACATAATAAGAAAATAACAAATGATCAAAGTCATCAGGATTAAAGAATTTGACTATCGAAGTTAGCTTACATGGCGTGAGGGTGAGGGGTCCTGGGGACATGGATGGAGAGAAGCAGGTTCTCAGGTGACAGACCTGATGTTGGAAAGGTGTATGCATGAAAAATGTTATTAACAGTATTGTGAATCCCATTACCTTCCAGTTGTTCATCGATTTGCTCGAGTGGGCACCAGTAACGTCTCACAACAAATTGTGAGACTTTGTTGTTACTGTTTTTTTGGCATATCGAATACGTCACAGGTAGCTTGCCAGGCTTTGCCATGCGGGCGAGATACTCTCGGTAGCTTGCCAGACTCTCTGAGACAGGCAGAGGAATCGAACTCAGGTTGGCCATGTTGGCTGCGTGCAAGGCAAATGCCCTATCCGCTGTGCTATCACTCCAGCCCCCCATTACCTTAATAACAATAATTTTAAAATGAATTTATCACACCTTACTAACCTTATATATATACTCAAGTTTTCAGCAGTACATAAAAATTGACCACCTGTTCCTTTTCAAATATTGGTATTGGTTTTGGTGACAACAAACATTTTGTGGTTTCCCTTTTCTAACTAGGAAATGTTCAAGCTTTTTAGGGATTGATCCTATGTTCTCATCTCTTCCCCTGTTCTTTCCTAAAAGAAAGAAAAATCTATTCTTCTGGCTTCAAATAACATCTATTTACAGATAACTTCAAAAATTCTATATCCGAGATAAGTTCCGCCTTAAGTTCCTGTATGAGATATTGAACTAACTATTGCTATCTCAGACTTACAAAGTTTTCTTCTCACAATCCCAATGAGTTTCCCCACTAAGTGCATCATTTCTAGACATGGAACCATGATCTACTCAGTTGTTTTCCTAACTATGTCAAAGTATGGAAGTTCCTACTTGGAAAAACATAGTAGGTTAGTTTTGGGGGTCTGGGAACATTTAAAAAAATGACCCCATACAGAGCTGGGTATAGAGCTCAAAGGGCTGGGTTGTCTGCTTTCCATGCAGAGGCTCAGATTCAATCCACCATGATCTGTAAGGTTTCTAGAACAATCCAAGCACTAAGCTTGAGTAGCTCCTAGCTTTGCTGGGCAGATCCTCCAAACAAAACAAAAATTAAAATTAAATTAAAAATTAAAATATTAAGTTTTCATATAAATTACAATCATTCCTCACCCTCCAAAATTTAGGTACCTGAGAAATCAAATAGCTGAAAGAAAGATGACAAACCAATTGTTCTGTGTATAGAATAATAGTTGGCAGGACATAGGTAAAGAGCAGGTTGGATATTATTTTCCTTGTCTGGCCAATAATGGCTGTAATAATGTTATTATTCTGAGTTGAATTGAGATTTTCAAACTGTGTATAAAATATGAATATGATCATGGCACAGTTAATAATCCGTGTATAGGGGCTAGCGTGATAGCACAGCAGGTAGGGTGTTTGCCTTGAATGTGGCCAACCCAGGCTCGATTTCCAGCATCCCATCTGGTCCCCCAAGCATCGTCAAGAGTAATTCCTGAGTGCAGAGCCAGGAGTAACCCTAATGCATTGCTGGGTGTGACCCAAAAAGGAAAAAAAATATGTATCTGTGTACAGTCTAGGCAAAAGGCTTCTGTATTAAACTGTAGAATACATGATCAAACTATAGAATATATGATAAAAAGAGGTAGTATCAGGCATAATGGTGGCAACTAGAGTGGAAAGAAAAAGAAGTCCAAAACTTGATAAAATTAATGTAATAATAATGCTTCTCTAATTCAAGTTCTAAATTGTCAAATGCAAAAAAGGGAAGAATATCAGAAAAATAAAACATAAAATACCACTTAAACAAAAAACACTTTAAATTTTATTATGAATGGCAGCATAAAGGTACTTTTTAATATTAATGTGAAAGTTTCTAAATATATACTTTCAACTTCAGTAGTCACCTGATCATAACTAATATCAAACCTCATTATATACAGCATTGGCTCATTGGACTTTGTCAGTGACTGGTTCCCATGAAAGTTGAAAGAGACTGAGGGGATAAAGAAACAGTACCGGGGGTAAGGTACTTGCCGTGCACACAGCCCACCTGGGTACAACCCCTGTTATTGCATATGGTCCCCTGGCCACCACCAGGAGTAATTCTTGAGTGCAGAGCCAAAAGTAAAGTAAGTCATAAGCACTGCTGAGTGTAGACCAGAACACCACTTCCCCCCACCCCCCACCCCGCCGGCAAAAAAAAGACTGAGACTACTAGTCTAAGTAACTGTCACAATTTTAAAATTGTTTCAGAAAGTTTGAAAGGCTCAGAAGATGTTCTTCAGGAAAACAAAGGTTTTTAATAGAACTTAATGTTGTAATGGAAAAACTCCTATATAAGTTCTAAGATATTATATAGAAAAGAGTTTTTATAAGTATTTTTTCCTACTATAACTAGAAAAAGGAACAGTTATGCTAATTTGGATTAAAAAAAAAACCTAGCTTTCACAGAAAACAAGGTCAAAGGATAAAATGGATTATCTATTCAAATTCATGGTTATTCCATGTCATTTGCAATTAAGTATCATAATTATATACAATCTGTTACATCATACATGGATATAATTACATGTTTTCCAGTAGACAACAGATACATACAACTTCATTCTTATGAAAAATACTTGATGTTAGGCTCCTGGTGATGCAATTATCCTTATTTTCCTTAAGTTTGTTACATAAATCTTCAGTCACCAGCTGAAAATAAAGAACTCTGCTATTCTGCTCAACACTAGAAATTAACAATACATGATTAGACAAGTAGAAACCAATCTTTTTGGTTATGCAGAATACAGTTCCTAATATAAATATGAGAAATTATAATCTGAGGAACAGGAACGGCAGTTCAGAAGTATAGCACATGCTCTGCAAAAATAAAAACCAAGCTTTGATCTCTGGGTGTTTCTCCGACTTCTAAAGGCAGGAGTGGGTGAGGAAGAAAGTGAAATTTGAGACTCAATACATGAAAAGTTCAAGGCAAATATAGTGTCAGCACTATAGATAAACAGGTGATTAAAAAAGTGGAAAGTGTAACATTTTAGACTGCTTAGGTAAACAGTTCCTTACTAGAACCTTGTGGGCAAAGGTTTTGACTCCATTAGAATAATTCCTAGTGATTTTTTTAAAAAGGCAAATGAACTAAAACTCAAAAATAACCTCTCTGACTTACCCAAAAGGATCACCAACCACAAGGAATGCAACATCACTGGTATCAGCGTCCTTTAAAATATTATCAGCTTGTTCCACTTCTTCTCTATCAGCAAGAATCAGTTTTCTTCCATAAAACTCTTCCTATAAATTTAAGCCCAATGTAAAAATAAGACAGCCAGCAACCATTTACACACACACACACACACACACACACACACACACACACAAAATCTGTCTTGGAGCTGGTGCAAATCTTGGCAACCATCCAAACACAGATCACTTACTGCAACCCATCAATGAGCAAACACTTTATATTATGTTGCAATTAAACTCTGTCTTTGGGGTTATTTTAATATCCCAAGAGAAAGCAGCTCTCCTAACATCTGCGGCTTCTTGCATTTTAATTTTTTTCTAAATTTGTCTTTAACAGACCAGGCAGAATATTGTAAGATGAGCAAAGAACATGCATGCATAAGCCTTACTTAAGTAACAAGCAGAATACATAAATAGTAATTATAAGTGCACACAGTAGTTTGGGTCTTATTTTTTCATGGAAAAGGCTATGAGATCTTAGATAAAAATGGATAACTAAAAATGATAGAAAATTAAGATTTGTTTATAAAAGCAGCAAACATAATGGCAGAAAAGACTAATTTAAAACTATATTAATATATACCGCACAAAATTATAATTTTTCTTTTTCAGGCTATGCCCAGTGGTGTACCAGGTTCAAACTGAGTTAGCTGCATGCAAGCTAAGCACCTACCCGCTCTACTATCTGGAGATCCAGTGAAAAAATATTTTCTAATTCCTGTTAAAATGGGAGAGTTGAAGTATAAAGATAATTCTAAATATATAGAAACCTGGGAACTAATCACAAGTTCTACTCTGAAGAAAATAAATCTAGGAGGTGCACCTTAGCTGAAGTAGCAAAGGGTAAAGAGAACAAGCAAAAATAGGGCACGCAGCAACAGTTTAGATGTCACGGTCACGGTCCTCCCGTTGTTCATCGATTTGCTCGAGCGGGCCCAGTAACGTCTCCATTGGAGACTTTGTTGTTACTGTGTCTGGCATATCGAATACTCTCGGTAGCTTGCCAGGCTCTCCGAGAGGGGTGGAGGAATCGAACTCGGGTCGGCCATGTTGGCTGCGTGCAAGGCAGACGCCCTAACCGCTGTGCTATTGCTCCAGCCTACAGCAGCAACAGTTAATAAGCTATTAATCTGATCGTAAATCTTAACATTTGTAGTATATGTGAACTTCTCTGAATTTTGGGGTTATTTTAATATCCCAAGTCAACTTTCTTATGCTCTTTCCTTCACTGATAAAACATGGACAAATATGGTGTCCATCTCTATTCTTTAAATTTTGGGTTTGGGGCCATACCTGGCAGCGCTCAGGACTTAGTCCTGGCTCTGCACTCAAAGATCAGTCCTGGTGAGGTTGAAGGATCATATGGGGTGGCAGGGATTGAACTCAGGCTGGCTGTGTGCAAGGCAAACATCCTACACACTGTACTCTCCATGGCTTCCCTATTTCTAGATTATGATAAAAATTAGATGAATTCATATGCATATATTCTTAGAATACTATCTAATCACACAGTGAGTCCAATGAAGGTATAATATAGCAAATATTTTTTAATCATAGTACAATCTGACAAGGAGAAAACGATTATTCCTTGAAAAAAATATGTAAGTCAAAGAACAGAAGAGGAAAAGCGCAAGTATGTATTATGCTTGTTCTTGCATGTCACTGAAAATATTCATTTCTCCCTTGTCTACCTCTTCCTTCTTTTTTCCTAACCTAATTCATCTGGGTATAGCTTCGCTCTGTTTCCTTATCGTCCCATAGAGCTACTGAGAGTTGAAATCAGGGGGACAGAGAGGACAGGAAAGGGCAGTAGTTGAGAAAAGTACAACCATCAGCGATTGCCTTTATTCACTCTCTGGCATTTATTCTGTATCCGAGGCTGTTTTCTCTCCAGTGTTAATAACTTAGTGGCCTCTGCAAGGTAGTTTGGGGTCCTTTCATGTAAAAGAGGTAAATAAGAATTATTTTCCTAGTAGAAAATTATTTTACTCTACAGTTTTTTGGTATTTGCATTTATTTATTTATATACTTATTTTGTGTTTGGGCCATGTGTCCAATGAAGCTCAAGGATTACTCCTGGTTCTGTGTTTAAGGATCTCTTTTTGGCAGGTTCAGGATAGACAATATGCTAAAATTCGCTCCGCAGGAGTTCCCTTAGATTGCTTCTCACTAACATGCATGCATACTGTGTTTACACACAATCCAGCATAAAAGACAGGAGAGTAGATTCAGCTTATGACAGCCTGAGTTCATATTCTGGCTCTATCACTCACTATCCATGACTTTGAGAAAATGTCAGTGTGGCTAAAATATGAGCAGTACCTAAAGAGTTATAATCATGTTCCATGTGTGAAACATTTTTAAAAACATAAATAGGAGGTGTTTCACAAATACTTAATGATAAAATAATAACTCTACATGCTTCTTGAAGAAAAAATGGTAATAAATGAAGTGCAGGGAGAGCGAAGGTCATTTCTTAATAAGTAAAGTAAAGTAAAGTAAAGGCCCTCCCGTTGATCATCGATTTGCTCGAGCGGGCCCAGTAACGTCTCCATTGGAGACTTTGTTGTTACTGTGTCTGGCATATCGAATACTCTCGGCAGCTTGCCGGGCTCTCCGAGAGGGGTGGAGGAATTGAACTCGGGTCGGCCATGTTGGCCGCTTGTAAGGCGAACGCCCTACCGCTGTGCTATCGCTCCAGCCCTGGAGCGATAGCACAGCGGCAGGGCGTCTGCCTTGCACGCAGCCAACATGGCCGACCAGAGTTCGATTTCTTAATAATCAAGGAATATATACAGAGGGACTGGAGCAATAGCACAGCGGGGTAGGGAGTTTGCCTTACATGCAGCCGACCCGGGTTCAACTCCCAGCATCCCATATGTTCCCTGAGCACTGCCAGGAGTAATTCCTGAGTGAAAAGATTCTGGACTGCAAAGCCAAGATATATAAATAAATAAATAAATAAATAAATAAATAAAAAGGAATATATACAGGAAATATATACAGGAATATACAGATTAGCCAAGTGGCACAAATGATGGCCAACTTCAATTGTGAGAGTGGAAAGGTCGGACTGCAGCTGAATCTCACGAAGAAAATGTTCATGAAAAACGGACTCGTTCCTGACATTCCGTTTGCTCTCAATGGAACGAACATCTCACTATGAAGAAGTTATGTGTATCTAGGTCGAGAACTCAATATGAAGAACGACCTGGCACCTGAGCTGCACAGAAGGAAGAGAGTGGCTTGGAACGCCTTCAAGAGTGTTGAAGAAATAGCTAAGAGGACGAAGAACCTATGGCTCCGGGCACATCTCTTCGAATCCACTGTTCTCCCTGCACTAACATATGCCTCAGAGACCTAGGCCCTATGAAAAAAGGATGAGAACGCTATTCAGGTCTCCCAAAGAGGAATCGAAAGAGCTATGCTTGGAGTATCACGCTTCAAACAAGTGAAAGAAGGAATCTGGAGCTCCGACCTCTGTCGACAATCAAGAATCAGGGATGCTGCCTTGTTTGCCAAGGTGTCAAAAATCAGATGGGCTGGACACATAATGGATTTGAAGACGACTGCTGGACTAGAGCTGTTACCGACTGGATTCCATGGGACCTCAAAAGGATGCATGGCTGCCCACCTGTGAGATGGACAGACTTCTTCGTCAAGACCCTGAACAAACGGTTTGAGGCTCTTTGTGTTCCTGGAGCGAGCAGACACCATTGGGCTACACTAGCATGCGACAGGGACGAATGGAGGCATTACTGGAGCCCGCTCAAGCTAATCAATGAATAACGGGATGTCAAGTGATCAAGTGATATACAAGAAGAAATTACACCCTAAACATAAACGCGCCCAATGAAGGACCAGAGAAATACTTAAAGCAACTGCTAATACACTTCAAGGAGGACATTGGCAGCAACATAATAGTTAGAGATTTCGACACCGCCTTGTCATCTCTTGATAGATCAATGAGACTAAAACTCAGCAAGGAAATACTGGTTTTGAAGGAAGAAATGGTAGAAAGAGGACTAGTCAATATGCACAGGGCTTTCCATCCCCCAAAGCCAAATACATTTTTCTCCATATAGGACATTGTCCAATTTAGACCACATGCTGGGTCATAGAACATACTTCCATAAATCAAAAAGAAATTGTATCAACTATCTTTTCAGATCATGATACACTGAAAATAGAAATGGAGAAGCAAAATAAAACACTTGGAAATTAAACAGCTCACTACTGAAAAACCAGCGGGTTATGGAGGAAGTCAAAGGAAAAATCAAAAGATTCCTGGAAACAAATGAGAACGAGGACACAAACTATACAGCAAAAGCAGTGTTAAGAAAGTTTATAGCAAAGCAAGAATACATCAGGAAGGAAGAAAGGGTCTAAATAATTAACCAGACTTCACAGCTTAAGATCTTAGAAAATGACAAACAAAAGGAGCCCAAACCAGGCAGGAGGAAAGAAATAATAAAACGTAGCGCAGAAAATAATGAACTGGAATTCAAAAAAAATAAAAATCCAAAAGATCAATAAAACCAAGAGCTGGTTCTTGGAAAAAATAAACAAGATAGATCAACAAATAGCAAGACCCATCAAGAGAAAGACAGAGAGAGAGAGAGAGAGAAGCCTAAAAAACCAAGTCAGAAACAAAGGATACTACAACAGAAACAACAGTAATTCAAAAGATCATCAGACGTTACTTTGAGAATTTGTATGCCACAAACAAGAGAACCTAGAATAAATGGACAAATTCTTGGATTTTTATAATCCCCCAAGGCTGAATCAAGAAGATTTAGAATAGCTAAACAGCCCTATCACTAGCGAGGAAATTGAAAGTTTATAGCAAAGCAAGTTTATAGCAAAAACTTTTCAAAAGTCTCCCCCCATAAAAAGCTCAGGCCCAGATTGATTCACTAGTGAATTCTTCCAAACCTTTAAAGAGGACCTACTGCCAATCTTTTTCAAGCTTTTCCAGGAAATTAAAAAAAAAAAAAAAACAGAAAGACTTCCAAGCAGTTTCTATGAGGCAAATATCACTTTGATAAATACAAACAGACAGACACCAAAATTAAAAAGAAAAAAGAGAGAGAGAGAGAACTATAGGCCATATCCCTGATGAACACAGATACAAAGATTCTCAACAAAATACTAGCAAATAGACTCCAATGACTCATCAAAACATACACCATGATATCATACACCTAGGGATGCAAAGATGGTTTAACATTTGCAAGTCAATCAACATAATACATCATATCAATAAAAAAATAAAAACCATATGGGCTGGAGCAATAGCATAGCGGTAGGGCGTTCGCCTTACAAGCGGCCAACATGGCCGACCCGAGTTCGATTCCTCCGCCCCTCTCGGAGAGCCCGGCAAGCTACCGAGAGTATTCGATATGCCAGACACAGTAACAACAAAGTCTCCAATGGAGACGTTACTGGGCCCGCTCGAGCAAATCGACGATCAACGGGAGGGCCTTTACCTTTACCTTATGATCATACTAATATATTCAGATAAAGCATTTGACAAAACCCAGCACCCATTCACGATAAAAACTCTCAACAATATGGGAGTTGAAATAACTTTGCTCAATAGTCAAAGCCAACTACCACAAGCCCACAGCAAACATAAGCCTCAACAGAGAAAAATGAAAAGCCTTCTCTCTAAGATCAGACACAAGACAAGGTTGCCTACTCTTGCCACTTCCACTCAATGTAGAGCTGGAAATACTTGCCATAGTAGTTAGAAAAGATATCAAGGGCATCAAATAGGAAAGGAAGATGTCAAGCTCTCACTATTTGGAGATGACATGATAGTATACTTAGGCAAAAAACTCCTAGAAGTAATAGATTTGTATAGTAGAGTGGGAGGTTACAAAATCAATACCCAAAAATCCATGGCTTTCCTATACGGAGATAATGAAACTTAAAACTTAAGTTCATTTTAGTTTTCCTTGCTGATTAGACAGAAATATTCCCATCAGCTATTTTTTTTTGGTTTGTATTATATTATTTGGGGGCCAAATACAGCAGTGCTTGGGGGCTTACTCCTGGCTCTGCATGCAGGTATCACTGCGACAATGCTTGAGGGACCAAGTGTGGTGCGGGGGATCAAACCCGGGTGGGCTGTGTGCAAGGCATGTTCTTTATCTGCTGTATGAACTCTCTCTCCTACCCCTATTTCCATCATCTTGAGCTTAAATATTGTTATTCCATCTTAACAAATAAAAATCAGATACTTTTATTTCAGTAAAAGCACAATTCAAAAGGCAATTCTTAATTCCTTAAAATTTAGAGTCTGAGAGATGGAGAAATGGGCTAAGCCCATGATTTGCATTTAAGAGGACCAGGTTTGATGCCAGAGACCATATGGTCCCAGGAACTAACTCCATAAAAAAAATACTTGGCCCAAACGCTGTATTCCTCCACCTCTTTGCTGAGGATCCATGGAACCCAGGTCTCATGCATGTATGTCATGCACTTTACCACTGAGGCACTGTTCCTGATAGGATTTTAAAGTATCTCTGAGACCTTCATTATTCTCAGGGTTGTGCATCTGAGAAGAGACCTGAAAGTGACCAGGTCACCTTTTCTGCTTGGAAAACTTGATAGATAATGACAACTCTAAAATCCTTTCTGTTTTCCTTTACAATCTCTTCATTGTATTCTACTTGGAGTTGGACCATCGACCTGGACTTGATTTTGCCTCCAAAATTTACCGAGTCTTTAAATGAGAGTTAAATGTATGTGATTGATTCATTAACAAATCCTATGGTTATTGAGTCTCAGGGTCACTCAACATACGTGTATGGTCATATGTTTACACCTCCTTGGAAGATGTCTGCTTAAAGGCTTCTCTGGATATGACTGACATCAAGGCAATTACCATTCCCGATGGAAATTCTTCAAAGAGAAAGCGTTCAACTTGGTTTCTGAATGTATAACCAATTCATCAAGGCTGTGCCGGCACCTCATTAGCACTCAACCCAGAAGATTTGCTTGTAACTATGAAATAAGAAATAGAAAATTTTCAAAACTATTTTCCCAGGAATGCAAAAGCAACTACTCCTTTTCTTATTTAGGCTTGCAAAGTCAAAGAAAGATCCTTTTATTTTCAAAAGTCACTCGGTATATGATTTTCATCCTCGCACTCCTCAGATCTGAGTGAGCAGGAATGTCTAACGGGTTTGAGGAAGACCTGGAAAGCTCGATTCGGCTTCCCGCAGAGAAGGTCAGCCGTGAGCCAGAACCTTGGGCACCTACCAGGACATCCTGCCCTACAGTCAGGATCGAAGTGTAGGCGTCCAGGTACACGCGGCTGCAGCGTCTTACAATTTCCAGGCCCTTGACTGTGATGTCCTTGGCATCTCCCAGGCCCAATCCGATCAAGTAAAGCATTTCAACAGTCCGGGGGAAGAGGGAGACTGCAAGACGGAGTGAAAAAGAAAAACATGGCTCAGCTACAGCTAAAGAACTCTGCTATTTTAGAACATCTAAAATCTCGGGATAAACACGAAAATAAAGACCAAAATTGCACGAGGATGTTATGCCCCAGGGGCTGAGGACTGGGGACTGAGGTTATTATTTCAAGTTTAAGCATGAATTAGAGTAAATGGTGGTGTGGTTTCTTTTTCTCCAAGAGCCCCTTCACGCCTTTTGTCTGGTTAAACTAACCTAGAGCAGACGATCCTTTCCTCCCCAGTTCCCTAACTACCACCTTTCCGGAGAACTTGCTCAATGGTGACGGGCTCACAAGATCCACGCCGTGGGATTCACCTACGGTGCCGCAAAACGCGGACGCCTTTGCAACACTTTACGACTAGCGGGCGGCGCGGGGACCAGGGGGTGGAGCCAAATCCGGGTTTGAAAGGCAGCAGCCCGCCGGCTACTGTGGCTGGGAAATGACCCTTCACTCTTTAAGGGAAGTTCATCCGGTTCTCCCAGCATGGCTTCTGGGACAGAGCGAGGCCGACTCATCATTCCCCTCGCTAAAGATTTAAAACTTCCCACAACTAGGTGAGCGCGGGAGCTCCTTGCCCGGGCGAAGACAGACGGTATTGGATCTGGGAGTTTGGGAAGTTCCGGGTGGAGGCCACGCCCCCAGTGGGCGGAGCCAATCTTGGTATTGGGCTGGGGAGTTCCGGGTGGAGGCCCCGCCCTCTGTGGGCGGAGCCAGTGGTGCTTGCTCGGGGAGAGTATGGGGCGTTCCGGGTGGAGGCCCCGCCCTCGGTGGGCGGAGCCAGTGGTGCTTGCTCGGGGAGAGTATGGGGCGTTCCGGGTGACGGCCACGCCCCAGAGGGCGGGGCGGAGCGTTGGGGCGGGGCTTACTCTGAATTCCCCGGGGTGCTCCGAGTGCACGCTTTCCCCTCCTCGCCTTTTCAACCTTAGTTGAACCAGTGATTTCCCCTTGAGGTGTCAGCTAGGCAAGCTCCGGGGTGAGACTGGTTCTCTTTCCAACGCGATCGCCCCCAGTTCCGCTTTTCGGAGTGAGCCTTGAGTCTCCTTCAATGCCGGGTAGCCCAGACCCCTCTATACTACTTTAAGTGACCTTTAAGTATTTCTCAGGAGGTTTTCAGGGATTTTCCAACACCCCCTAATCGCGTCTACGGGGAATAATTATAAAGTGGTTGGTTAAAAGAAGTTTCGCTGTCGGAGGGGTTGGTTTGAACTGAAAATGCTTTTCTCTTCCTAAGGGCGTGACTGCATCGAATTTACAAAGACAGGTTCCATTGCTAATCTTAGTGGACAGTGTTTATTTTTCAGAATTTTCCCGGTACTTCTACAGTGCCTTGTATCTTTTAGCCCAGTTCTGTTTCATTAAGTTTTCGCTTCATGTTTTCTTCCCGAATTTCAGCCACACTTTGATTTTCTGTCTGTCCATTCTCAAGACAGCAAATATCAACTCAAAATGAATCCTATTTGTGTAAATGGATTTACACAAAAACCTAAAGCTGTAAAATACCTAGTAGAAAGTGGACAAAAACGTTGTTTAGGGGAAGATTTACCAAGCACAACACCAAAAGACCTGATGAGGAAGGAAAGATATTACATTAAGGTTGAAGTAAAAACGTGGGAGCATGGGAGAGAAATTGTAAGCTACATGTTGGGTGAAAATGTTTGCAAAGCATCTATACAATAAAGGATTTATGTCAAAAACAGAAAGATCTTTTAGAGAACCCAAGAACTGAGTGCTGGCTTTTCTGGCAGGATGAATTACTGGGTCCAATCCCTGCTGGACAGGGAACACCACTGGGAGCAACTCTCACCGCCCCCCAAAAAGAAAGTAAAAAAAAAAAGATGCTGACCATTAGAAAATAACAACTAAAACCACTATGAGACCACTGCACATCTATTAGAATGGCCAAAATTAAGAACAGAACCTGAATATTCACTCTCATAAAGTCAGGTAGCCCTGTAGCACTTTCCTCCCATTATTCATAGATTTGCTCAAGCGGGCATCAGTAAGGTCTCCATTGTGAGACTTGTTACTGTTTTGGGCATATCCGATACATCACAGGTAGCTTGCCAGGCTCTGCTGTATGGGTGGGATACTCTTGGTAGCTTACCGGGCTCTCTAGTATTTTATTCATTTAAATTTCAGCCTCCCATTCAGACCTTTCCTCCAGCTTCCTTTAATTTACTTTCTACTGGAAATTGTCGAAGTAAGTCAGAGATACATAAATTCTGTTAGCTAAAGCAGAGTCTCTTATTCCTTTTCAACTTATGTTTTTCTTCTCTGTGATCTTTGGAAGGCACTCCTGTCCATGCAGTCTTCCCCAACCAGATACATGGAGGTCACCCCACTTTCAATCTGGAGTACCAGTTCCTTTTTCTCAGTAGAAACCATCCCTACTACCACACTCTTGCTTCAGGCCCTCAGTACATCTCTTCTCTAGGTCATCACCTCCCTCCCTCACGGTCATTCTCTCGGGGACCAGGGAGGAACAGACTACAATAAAATCAAATTTACTGGGCTCCTCACCCCTTCACCCATTATTTTACTTACTTTCTGAAAATCCTTTTGCATCCAAAAGAAAGTCCAGATTCCTTAATATCTCCCCCAAGAGATGTGACCTCTCCAGCCTCCTCTATCTCCAGCCTATCCCTGTACATTTTATCACAGTGCTCTGTTCTGTGCCTACATTTGCTGCTGGTGTCTCTTTAGAGACCTTTAGTTAGGCTCTAACTTCAGCATGGAATGTCTTCAATTCTCCTGCCTCCATCATTGCTACTTATTTTTAAATCTAATATGAGGAAGCCTTCCCAAAGATCCAGAAGCCAAGATCAGTAACTCCTTTCTGTTCCAAATATGCGCTATACCTATTCTTATCAGTCCTCTTAAAAGTGTGTTCTAATTGTCCATCTGTAAGTCTTTATCACACCATCAATTTCATGAGCTGAAATAGCCTATCTTACTGATATTATCCCTAGAGCGTGTTCATGTCATGTCTCTCACATTGTAGACATAAAGAATACTTCCTTTGAATTGTCAAATTTTCTATTTTAGCGATAGCACAGTGGTAGGGCGTTCGCCTTACAAGCAGCCAACATGGCCCACCCGAGTTCGATTCCTCTGCCCCTCTCGGAGAGCCTGGCAAGCTACCGAGAGTATCTCACCCGCACGGCAGGGCCTGGCAAGCTCCCCATGACGTATTCGATATGCCAAACACAGTAACAACAAAGTCTCCAATGGAGACGTTACTGGGCCCGCTCGAGCAAATCGACGATCAACGGAAGGGCCTTTACCTTTACCTTTTATGAAATTTAGGAAGTGGTATGTTTTATATTGCTACTAAAGAGTCATTGTGGAATATCAAACAAGCATGCCTTGTTTATGCCACATTAAAGTCATTTATACTGACAAGCTTATGTTATGTATCACATATAGTTCACATGCCCACTGGTCATATTTTATGTTTTTGTTTTCATTTTTTTGAGTAATTTCCTCATTAGATCACAGAGAGAAGAATAGAGATTTTCATAAAGAATAGATAACCCCTAGTAAGTTTTATTTTGTGTCCTTTCAGGAAAGAAATCTATGTTGAAAATGAAGTTATTCTTGGTAGCTAAATAAATTTTTCTTTAAACAAATTTTTGAGTTAGAAGAGTTTGGACCAGAGCCAGTGGTATCCAGAGCTTACTCCTGGCTTTGTGCTCAGCTTGCTTCTGGCAGTGCTTGGGGTACCTTTTGCAATTAGCCATCTCCTCTGTTCTATAGTTAACAATGTTCAGTTGTGTTTCTTTCCTCAAGTATTTGTGAATTTATCTAGCCATCAACCCATCTTTTAATATTTTTATTTTTTACTAAGGTAGTTGCGGTCTACATTGGTTACTTTTTACCTGACCTGTAAACTAAGTAACAGTTAAAAATGGACCTAAGCAAAAGCTATATAAATGGTATGGTGTCTTCACCAATTTAGGAGCAGCTTTGAAACTTTTACTTTGAAACAGTTTCAGAATAGTTTTTAGTCAACAGTGTAGCATTTGATGATAATATAAGCAAGTGTCAGATCACATAATCATGGATATTGTTATGGCAAATATGAAATCTCATATAGTAAAAGAAAAGGAATGATTATAAAGAAAAATAATTCTCAGACTAGAAGATGGACTTAAACCATTTTTGATTTAAAGAATAATAAGGTTAGATAAAGCCTACAGAGTTTTCTGCTTTATATTTGTGCTTTTGGATAAAACAATCCAGATCATCCCTAAGCATGAATATTTATGTCTTTATTGAAAAATATTTGAGTTCTTTTATAACCTTTGTAAGTAATTCATTTTTAGTACCTGCGTCATCAGAAATTCTTATATTTAATCTGAGACTTTCTGACAGTCTTAAGTGTGAATGAGAAGTACAGAAAGTCATAAGAAATTAAAACTGATGGATGGTCTTTTTTCATAAACATATCACATTGTACTTTTATTTTAAACTGATAACCTAATTGACTGACACACTGCATTACATTATAGACAAAGTGTGGTTGTTGTCTAATTTCTAAAAGTCATCCGTCAATTTTCCTGTTTAAGTTCATTGTTTGTCCATAGAAAATGAATTTTTCTTGTAAGTCCATAGAAAAAACATCAGAGCTACTGGGTAAATTCCTTCTGATCTTATTTGGATAGAAAATATTATTTTACTCTGAAGCTAGCCTTTTAACCTACATGCTCCCAGTGGTTCCCTCTTTGTTAGAAGAAATTCTGATTAATATTCATAATGCTTAGAGACTGAATTGATTGATAGTCATTTTATTCTAACACCTCACAAAAGATAGTTTTGCTTTAGGAGAAAACTTTGAAATTAACTTTATCAGGAAAAGGATCACTTTTTCTTTATTCAGTAATCTTATCTGTGTACAGTTTTCTTTTATATACTGTCATTATGTAAAATGCATAATAAAAACTCTCACACCCAGAGCTATTTTCTGTGGAAAACAGGGGAATCTTTTACTGACCCCCATCTAGTGGATTGAGAGAGTAACCTTGCATATATGAGTGTATGAAAGTCACCCAGAGCCCTTTGTTTTTGTATAAAGGATGTTGTGGGGTGGGGTGGGGATTAACATTTTTTTGTTTCTAACCCATTTTTTTAATACTTGACAGTTCCTTCTTTAAAGTCTTTTGCTAAAAGGGATATCAGAAGGGATATATAGCTTAACTATTTCTGTAAATATAAACTAGTAAATATAAATTAGTAAAAAATTGGTAATATATATTTT